GCCCAACCCCACCCCAACCCACACCGGGCAGCCAGGCAAAGTCAACGCGCCTGATCCAGCCGGCTCAGCCGCCCAGCGGTGCCCCGCCATGCACCCCATCGTCATCGGCGGCGGCCGCGTGGGCACTGCCATCAGCCGCATGTATGCGCCGCGCCCGGCGCCCATCCTGCGCCGCGGGGAAGCGGTTCCAGACCTCCCGCGCCCGGTGAGAGCCTGCCGCATAAGCTCGCGGCGTGGGTGCAGCTCCTGCCAGCCCACCCATCCTCGAATCAACGACATGGAAAGCCAGTACTGTACGGGCAGCACAAGCCAACTTTGAACTTCTTGGCACCCGCGGGGGCGTCCATTCTGAATTGGCCCCCAGAAGAGGCCGGCCTGTTTATCTGCAGATGCAAAGTGCAAGACCCTGTTGCTTTTCAGAACCCTCCAGCCGTCCCTCGTGGCAGGTGATCCCGCAGCAGATTAGCTTGCCCCGCACTGTGCGCGTCTCTGCGAATGGCGCAAAACGCCGCGCCCACCCACCCGCGCCACGCCCCGCGCCGCAGGGCGCCGACGCCGGGCCGATCTGGGTCTGCACGACTAACGACGCCTTGGATGAGGTAATCGCGGCCACGCCCCAGGGCCGACGCGGCGATCTAGTGTTCGTGCAGAACGGCATGCTGCTGCCCTGGCTGCGCGAGCGCTGGCTGGGGGGCAACACGCAGGTCCTGTTGTACATGGCAGGTGGGTGCGACGCATGAAAGAGAGTGTTTGTCAGGTGTTTCGACATCTTGGGGCACTGCGGCTTGGGGGCGGATTCGCGTTCGCGCAGGCAGGGCGGCTGGCGGGCGGCGGGTGCCATCGTTTGTGGCGGGGGCGGGCACGTGCCGGGGGACGCCTGTGTCTTAGTGCTGCGGGCGCACGTGCGTTGCAATTTATCATGCGTGCGAGTAAGAGTGTGCGCGTGCATGTGTGTAGAATTGTCAGAGCGCATACACGCGTTTTCTGTGCGAAGCAGCTGGGGGGAGGGGGGCGTCGTCCTGATTACTGCGCGCGGGTGTGCTGGCGCTAGGGCGGCCAGCAGCACAGTGCGGCGCTGGTGCGGCGCCAGTGATGAGGGCATATACATTTCGACACAACATCAAATGCTGTGCTTCGGGTTTTAGCCACTGGAGACATTGACCCGGCTCGCTCTGAACCACGTTGCCTGCGCCGCCGCCCCTCCCCGCAGCCGACGCCTCTGGCGCCGTGACAGACGGACGAAAGACCCTCGCCCACGGCGGCCGCTGGGCCGAGCACGCCGCCGCCGCGCTCGCCGGCGGCGGCGTCGCGTGCCGCGTCGAGGCGGGGTGGCGGGAGTTTCAAGAGGCAGTTGCCGCGAAGCTGCTCTGGTCCTCCATATTCTGGGTCATGAGCGCGGCGCTGGGTGAGACGGTGAGGCCACAACCGACTTCGGACCTCAGCCACTGTCACCCGTGCGGACGTCACCTTGATGTACATCGCCATCCCAAACCAACCCACACACGCGCGTCTTGGTCTCAACGGTGACTCATTGTTGTTCAATGCTGCTGCTGCACCGCTTGCTTGCATCGCCTTAATTTATCAACAGAGTCCTCCTGCTCGCCCTCAAAACCAGCACATGGTGACATCACTAGGGTGCCCTTCCACCACTGCGTGCCTGCCGTTGGCGCAGGTGGGCGAAATCGCGGAAAACCGCTCCGAGGAGGTTGCAGCGCTAGTGGCTGAGCTGCTGCCCCTGGTGGATGACTACCTGGATGATGTCATCGCGGCGGACGGGCGCGGCGATGTCACGGCGGGTGGCGTCAGCGTGGGCAGCCCGCGCCTGGAGGATTGCGAACAGCAACAGCAGCAGCAGCAGCAGCAGCAGCAGCAGCAGCAGCAGTCCCTACGATTTCCTCCTGCTGCTGCAGCACAAGGGTTCAGTGGAGGCGTCGGCGGCGCCGGCGGAGAAGGAACAAGTGCAGAGGAGGAGGGTCAGCAGCAGCGGCGGCAGAAACAGCGTGTGGAGGCTGTGACGGCAGAGCTGATTGCGTACTCTTTGGCGATCGCAGCGGCGCGGCCGAGCAAGGATATGGCCTTGAAAGAGTGGCGGTGGCGCAACGGGTGGCTGCTGGGGCGGCGCGCGACGCCGCTGCACATTGACTGGCTGCGGCGGGCGGGCTGCGCGGAGCCAGGAGTGGGGGCCAGCACGGGGGCCGTCTCCTGACGCAGCGGCGTGGTCGAGGATCGCTGCATCTTGCGGCGTATCTGTCGATCATGCCGCACCTGAATTTAGTAGACCAATACCATCATGCCACTAGGCTGCGATGACACGACCCTGCCAAACCACGGCTTGTGGTGACACAGCACCCAGGTTTGCAAGCGATGTGAGCAGCCTGCACGTGCAGGTATGCATCATCACAGAAAAAGTAACTGGAAATACATTCTTCCCTTGTACTGCCTGTGCCGAGTCCAGTTTCGGGATCGTCTTGAGCCTGTTAGTAATCCCAGTGACACACTGCGAAAACTTTATCAGCGGTCCGTCAGACCAGCTGGTGATGCTATGCATTCGATCATTCACTTGACAAACGTAACGCGGACCGTGCTTACTGGGGTCGTGTGCTGGTCCCGAGCCCAAGCGATCAAATTCCTCATCTTTACGGTGCTGGGACGGGTTGTTCGGACATCTGCCACCAGGAGTCATAGGTACGCGCTGAGCACGCCGCTGCTGAGCTCAGCTGAACCCATGGGAACCGCCGGAGCGCCGCTGTGGCATGCTGCTGCTCGTGCTGTGCTCCTTGCTTTGTCCCCCTGGGCCGTTCAGCGGGATTGGGTTATATGAATACACGCTTTGCATCTGAGCTGATCCCCACGCCTCCAGGCACACACAAGCCCCCGCGGCCCAACACCCAGCCGGTCCCTGCCGCCCGCGGCGACGCGGAGGGCACGGAGGCAGCAGCCGAGGCGGCGTCTCGCCGGCGCGCACGCATGGTGCTCAGCGGCTTGCTGGTCGGGTTCGCTGTTCTGCTGGTGCGACGGCGCCGCAGGGAGCGGCAGCAACAGCTTCTGCCTATGGCCCGTATCTGGTCTCCTGCCAGTGCCGTTGCTTTGATGCCTGTGCGGCTGCATGCAAGAAAAATTCCGCCACTGATTTGGGCCGCCAAAACCTCTCAGCATCCCTTGCAACAGTACCTGGGTGTTTGCTGACCACCCTTTTATACAAGGAAACAACAGAATTCAACGCTGTTGCATCTTTCGCAGGCGCAGTCAGCGACAGACCAGCTGACGGAATTCCACTCAGTCTTGGACGGCCCAGGGCCCAACGGTCCTGCCGCCGTTGCCCCATCGGGCCCCGCCGGGCCGGCCGCCGCGGGGCCGCGGCCCCTGCCCGCGTCGGCCGTCACAGACAGCGGGGCCAACAAACGAATTGCGGCAGACTCGCCGCCGCCGGCGGCGGCGGCGGCGGCGGGGCGCAAAGCCTCCACCAGCTTGCCGGGGCCCCCGCCAGAGTGCACTCTGGCGATAAGGCAGAAAGTCGCGTTCGGCGTGGCGACTTCGGCGTTCCAGGTGAGCGCGGTGATTTTGTTTTGTGACAACTCATCCACTCAATGTTGCAGGCGCTCGTCTGGACCGGGCTGCCTTTTCGCGCCGAGCCAGCTGGGGCCCCCGGACCTGTTTTCGCCCGTCTAGGCCGACTCGTTGAGCGGCACGCTGCGCCGGGGCCTGCTGTGGCGTGGTGGCGGAGCGCCGGAGACGGACGGCGGCGTCGGGGCGGGGCGGGGGCCGGCCATACGGGCCTGATGAGAAACCAGGGGCTAGTCATTGCTATGCAACAGCCTGCAAGGCAGGTACAGTGGCCGGCGTCCCTGCAACTGCCACCCATACACATCGGCACGACCTGGCAGAAACGTTGCCGCTGTCATCTGCCCCAGCTCCCCTCAAAGTGCATCATGCAGTGTCAATCACTGATGTTATGAGATGCGACCACTGCAGTAATCCCGGCCGGCCGCCGCCACGATGCACGACAGGTGGAGGGCGGCTGGAATGCGGGCGGGCGCACCCCCAGCGTCTGGGACGCTTACTTGCACTCCGAGGGCCTCCCAAACGCTGACGTGGCGGCCGACATGTACCACCGTTACAAGGCCGATGTGGCGCTGATGCGGCGGCTGGGGGTGAAGCGGTACAGGTGGGGTGGATGGCGGGTTGATGGTGTGTCACATGGAGCATGTTGCCGCCGGATGGCTGCCGGAGTTGCCGTTGTGGCGCACGCGCACGCGCGCGTGCTGGCGCCGGCCCGCGGGCGCACGGCGGGGCGGGGCGGCAGCGGCGCCTTGCGCGGCGGGCACGCGCGCTCTGTCGCGGGTGTGCGTGTGACTGCCATGGCCCGACCGCCCAGGTGGCGCCGCCAGCTGGCGTGCCCGAAGCGAAGCACCACCATACAACCGGCCCTGCCCCGCCACCCAGGCCCCATCTCTGCACCCTCCCCTGGATTCCCATATCAAAACAGGTTCTCTATATCTTGGAACCGCCTCGTGCCCGGGGCGCGCCGCGGGTCGCCCGTCAGCGCGGAGGGGGCGGCGTTCTATGATTCGCTGATCAACGAGACGCTGGCCGCCGGGATAGAGCCGTTTGGGACGCTGTTTCACTGTGAGGGCCGGGCGCGGTTGGAGGGAGAGCGGGTTGTGTGTGTGTGTGTGTGTGTGTGTGTGTGTGTGTGCGCGCGTGCGCGTGCACGTGTATGTGTGTGCGTGCATCGGTTTTCAGGCGTTTGGGAGCGGGGCCAGCATGGGCGTTTCCAGGGCGGTGGAGTTTTCGAGGCAGGGCGGGGCTAAGCGCCACTTGTTGGTGGCCCAAAGGGAGGGCGCCGCCTGCTTTGAAACAGCACTGCCCGCTGAGAACCATCCAAATCGCGCCATGCACGTTGCTCCTCTATCGCCTGCGCACCAGCTCTATATCTCACGCTGGGCATGAGTCACCAACCTGCAGCTGATCCAAAACCCTCGTTCTGGATCGTGCATCTGACGTGAAAGAAACCGCCACAAACCAATGAAATCAACAATCTTAGGGGACCTGCCCCAGTCCCTGCACGACGCCTACCAGGGGCCGCTCTCTGACAAGTTTGTGGACGACTTTGCCTACTACGCAGACAAGGCGCTGGGGCTGTTTGGGGGCCGCGTCAAAACCTGGCTGGTGCGGGTGGTGATAAACACCTGGGTGGCCGGCCGGGTTGCCTGGCTGGCTGTGTTGCCTGGCTGGCTGATTCATGGCGGCCTCAGGGTGGTGCTTTCGTTGCAGTGCATCAGGTCTTGGGGCGCCAAGGCCTCTGGGGCAAGAACCAGCAGCCGCAGCCGCACCCCCCCTCCCCTCCCCCACCCCGCACCCCCCACAGACACACATACTGCGTTTGCCGCAGCTGTCAAAACAACACCAGTCACCCTCACACCCCCTGCTGACCTGGCAACCCCCGACTGAAAAAGCGTCGACCGCGCCGAAGATTAACTGCCATTTACGAAACCCTCGGTCAGCCCCTACACCACCCAATAGTTCACGCCCTCAATTGACACCCTGAACTCCACACCCTGACCCATACAGTCCTTTGACGAGCCGTTTGTCACCTGCATCCGCCAATACGGGACCGGCCAGTACCCCCCCAGCCACCGCGGCGGCCTGCCCGACGCGCAGCGCTGCGGGCGCAACGTGCTCGCCGCGCACGCGCGCGTGGCGGCGCTGGCGCGGCCGGGCGGGAAGTACAGGCGGCTGGGGCTGCGGCTCGGCATAGGGCTGCACGTGCACTGGCCGGAGCCTATGAGCTTGGCGGGTGAGAGCTGTGGTCTGTTTTGCTTGGCTGCATTGGGAGGTGACAACCCCTCCTCTGAGCAGCCTTGTCATCTGTGTGTTTTCAAGTAGTATTTTCAACCCTGATTTCAGGACAACGCGCGTCGCTGTTGTGACAGAAGTGCAGCATTTTGGATGTGTGTGTGTGTGTGTGTGTGTGTGTGTGTGTGTGTGTGTGTGTGTGTGTGTGTGTGTGTGTGTGTGCGCGCGCCAGATAATGGCACCCGCTTGCTGAGTGGATTCAGACGCGCAGGGCTTCTTGTTGCGGCCCCCGACAGTCTCCTTAGCCACCACCCCACCCCACCGTTCCCCTTTCGAACGACCACGCCCTGCCCTGCAGCGGAAGACGTGCAGGCAGCGGCGACGTTTTTGGACTGGCAGCTTGGCTGGTTCAGCGATCCCCTATTCTTTGGAAGGTGCGGCGGCCAGCTTGCAGCAGCGGCACCGCAGTCAGAGGCACAGGCGCCGTCTTGACT